AAAGCAGTCTTGACCATCAAGTTGTTCTAAATTCAAGATCCTGCAAGGGCAACAAGGGCCAAGAAGTAACACGTATAGAAGTGTGGTACGAACAAACAGGGAGAAAAAGAGGAAAACCACTTTTCATTTTGAAAGTCTACAACCATGTTTTTGACGTTAGCCTTTTAGCAACTAAAACGTGCTTTATATTCTTGCAATCTTCAAACTCCGGGATTGCCCTTCTTTCTTCTTATAGACCCAATTTTACAGGCCTAACAACTGCTTTGGACCTTTTTGGGCAATTTCACCAACTGCCATAGTTATCATTCTTGTGCAAGAGATTCAATTTTACCTTCTTGCCATCGCAACTTGCCACTCAGAAGAATTAGGACATGAGAGATTTGCTTCAGAGTATGTGTGAAGGTTTCTCCACCTTCAACTGTAATCCTCTGCAACAACAAGAAGCATAAGCAACCAAATCCCTTCATTATCTCTTTTCAGGGCCGTTTTTGATTTCTCTCCTGGCTCTAATCTCTGGCAAGTAGGAATAGTTTTTTCAACTGGGAACGATCTGTTTCAGTGGAATCAGGAAACCTCCGATGTTGATCGGAGAGATTGAGGAAATATTCTCTTTGCTAGGAGTTGGTATTTTCAAAACTTCAAGCTCCACCTTTCTCGTCGGTTTTTTCTTCGAATCAAACCTGTTGTCAGAAGGAGAAGAACGGGACAGTTTTTTCTTGTTCAGGGAAGGAATTAGCACATTTTCCATTGAAAAGTAACGTCCCTAACTGATAATTTACTTTCTTAAGTTCAGGACAACCCACAAACGCGATACCCTTTCACACCAGAAATGCATTAACCAAAATAAATATGACATTTTCGAGCCTCTAGGCTCTAATTTTCCCTGATTTAACGATTGTGCAATATGCAGGACATCCAAAAATTTTTCAAATTTCGAAAAATAAGCAACAGGATTACCTGACCAAAACTTCCTCTTGGAAATCTTGAAGTTCGAGGATGTGTGCTGGGGAACGAAAAAATTTTCAGCCAAAAAAACATGCGTAGATGCAGCCTTCGGACCCAAAATTTTTAGCCAAGGGCAGCATTAAGAGAGCATGCAATGAACTCTCTCCATCAATGTCCTGTTCATTCGTTTTCCTGCAACGCCATTTTGTTGAGCGTACCGGCAACTGTACGGTGGTTCTCACAATGCCTTCAATTTCGCAGAATGCGTTTTGAAATCGCCCTCCCACAAAATTTCTAGACCCATTATCGGTCCTGAGTCGCTTTGAAACCCTTCTTCCCTGTCTTGCCGTTTTCCATCAAAATCTTCCACTTCTTAAAGTGGGAAAAAAAACTTCGATCTTTTGTTGCTTTTTTAAAAAATGAAGCCCAGACTTTACGAGGAAAAAATCATCAAATGATGGTGCAGCATGTAACGATGTTCCTCCTGGTTTGAAGAGAACATGTGGCGGTCCCCAAAGATCTTGAATGAAGATAGTCAAGAGTACTTTTTGGTTCTATTGAATTCCCGCGTTACCTGAAAGTTAATCTTTTCTGTTTTACGAGAATGCATATGTTCAACAGAAAACTCCAAACCTACCGGATTTTCTTGACCGCAACAAAAAAGACCTCTCTTAGCTCAGGGATGGTCATCCTTTTTTCACTCATATGCCAAGTCGCATATAGCCATAATGGTGTTGTGACGTCTGAAGGCTGAACATAGATAATGATACAGAACAGCCGCAAAAACTTGTAACAGAAATAGATTCCCCTGCAACACGGTACCCAAAAGCTTCCAGATCTATTTAGCTTTTCATTAAAAAAGGAAGAGCACCTTTTTAGAGACCTTTAGAAACTCCAACCTCAGCTGCATATTTACACCCAAAGGGACTCCAGGGGCCAAGAGAGAATAAGGTTCCGTTTCAAGGTCAGCGAACATGTCTAACACCGGTTAAAGTTCTAATCATGCGCATCATGCAATTTTAATATTCTAATTGGTTTCCTTTTCCTACAACTTTACACTGAAGCATTATTCCCCATTAAGACAATACCACAATCAACAGATTCAATAAAGTTAGTAAACAATCTTATAGGGGGACCACATGTGATAGGAAACAAGCAGAAGCTAGAAATCCACTTCCGGTTTTAGATCCGAGTTCCAAAATCAGTAACAGACAAAACTTCACCTTCAGCACTCTTTTTGTGCAAATACTTGCTTCAGCTTTGAATTTTCTGAATTCTTTCTTGATTATTGTTTTTCGCCCACTTTTTGCTGCCTTAATTTTTCAACTTAAAACATTTCTGTGAAATTACATGTTCCTTTTTCTTGCAATAGCCGCACAAAAAATTTCTTATTATCTCGCCCCTACTAGACTTTGATCTGGACGATTTACTTCTACTGGCTTACTACGGTTGATCCATAGTTTCTCCCCCTAACAAATTTAACCCTTTCAGCTTCATCCTTTGAATTATCTCTTCATAGTCATTATTTTCCTTTTTGACAAGAGAGAGTTTGTTTACATTTCATCAAAGGTTAGGGTCTCAATTACCACCGTTATAACATAATACTTTAAAGTTACGGGTAAGATCGGGGGAGTGAAGAGGCAAAACTAACAAAACAGCTCTTTATCTTTCATCATTAATTTCAACATCTAACATTTTTCAAATCCAACTATGATGAATAATTTTAAACTCATCAAGAGTGAGTTTGGACATTGGGTTTGTACCAAACAACCTTCGACCATCTTAAATAATGGTATTTATAGAGGCGGCTCCTTGAGACGAATAATGTTGGCAAGTACTCTTCGTCAAATACAAATGACTCCAACTTAAGCCATAAACCTGCCAGCTGTATCCGCCTTGATAACCCTCTGTCGACAGAACTTCTTTGGAAATAAACAAAGTTGCAATTGCTGACAAGGGCGTTTTCAATTCTAACTCTTCCCAATCTTCATCCGACATGGTGTTCGGCGGTTTTCGCCCTTTCCTGGCAAGGGCCTTTATTTCAAACCGATGCGGGTTTGGAGAACGCCATCATCTGAAACTCGCCAAATGCCAAAACTATTTTTCCACTCAAACTTCTCAACAGATCAAATTTCATGACAAAGCCATGTTGTGAAATCCAAAATTAAAATTATTAACAACGCTCTGATACCAGTTTTGTTGCGGGAATGGTTTAGCGTGGTATTAATGGACATAATATTTTAGTTTCAATAATTTGATGATGTTTAAAATGAGAAGTTAAATAATAAATGAAGAGACCACAAGATTTACGTGGGAAACCCTCCAATGTTTTAGAGGGGGAAAAAAAAAACCACGAGGCGAGAGAGAAGAAGTAAATTTGCACTATAAAAATATGGAGAGATACAAGTGGATTTTACACCCCCACACAAAATTACACTCAAAGGAGTAACACCTCACTACAACTCAATGAATTCTTATGCAAAGAGTGTTTGTTATATATATGAAAAAGGTGGTATATGAAGAGATGGATAGTTTTAGAGAAAATGCTCTTGGTAGGATTTCTCGCTTGGATGAATTTCACTTGTTTTTAATTCTTCTAAATGTGCTTCCAAGCAAGGTTGGCCTTATATAGAGGTGTATCACCATGTGAACAAAAATTTCAAGTCTTTTCCTTCCATGTTTGAAGAGTGTGCCATCCTAGTCCAAGTAGCTCACCAACATTGCCAAAACCAATACTTGAATTTCCTTAGCCATCCAAAAGGACTAGTAGATGTTGAAACATTGAAGCCGAACCAAAAACTTAGTAACCGTGAACCAACATTGAAAGCAAAACCAAAAAGACTTAGTATAAGCCATTGGAGAAACATGTTTCTTTTAGCCACCAAAGGGAACTAGTAGTGTGGGAACTTTAGAATATAAGCAATTTTTAACATTTATGGAAGACTTTTTCAGAGAGATTTTACAAGCTTACAAATCAGATTCAAACAAAAATAAATAGAAAAATATATAATCCATCAATTCATAGAAAAAATCATAGTCACTCGTAGCAACTATATGTAATACATTGTAAATATTGATAAACAGGAAATTAATTATCAAAACTATATTTGCGGTTTTGAGTTAGAATAAACAATTCAGTTTATTGTTTATGGCTTTAAACGTCATGAAATGAGGAGTGAAATTGTCTGCAACTTTCTTGGGCAAGGTTATGAAATATTTGGTCTAAAAATATTTTTTTCACAACTGCCAAAAGTTGTCCCTTTCAAGAGACCCTACAAAAAAACTGATCATTGGTTAAGCCGAGACAAAAAATAAGCTTCACAAGAGGTCTGCTGGATTCATATTTCACGGAAACGACCTGAAACGTGTAAAAATTTTCAATACTAAAATGCCCATTTCTCTTAATAAATTTCCTCTAACTCCTTTGGGCGAAAGAATAGATACACAAGGCAAATTGCAAGGTGTCTACTTTTTCTTCACTTATCACTCCCCTTAAAAAAGAAATCAATCAAAGAAATATAAGATTATAGCTTAATTAATAAGAAAGGTTCAAATTGATAATAACATGAAAATAATGTCTTTGTTTCTTTACCAATTTAGCCACTGTCTCTGAGGGAATTCCCCCCATAACTGTGCATTAAAGTAATCCCAGCAGCGTTGGGCCTGAAACATTAAAGATACCATCCCTACGACAAAGTAGATTATAATAGCCCATTTAATCCAGCCTCCAACAACTTCTTCAGGCTCTTGGCATTTAAAGAAAACTATCTATTATCATTCTTGAATTGGTTTTCAAAATATGCCTCAGCAGCTTACCTGTTACTAATTTCCAGAGCAACATATGCTTTTCTTTAATTCAAAGCTGGATCTTCCAAAATTTCTCTTGGGAATTTTTAGATATCCAGTGCAAGGCATAGACAAGAATTAAACAAAATGGATGCGAGGTATTTTGGGAAAAAAAAAAAAAGGCGACTGTAAAAAGAAACCCAGGCACTCCACTGCCCAAAATAAAGTTTGATATTGAAAGACAGGTTTTAAAAAAAGACGTTGTAAAATCATTGGTCTGTTTTAAAAAGAGTGTTAAAATCATTGTCTGTTTGGTCATTGAAGAGAACTTGGAATTCTAAGGGTGGTGGGTTTTGAAGTTGGGTTTGGTATTTATGATTTACAGCTTCTATTATGTATTTAACTGCAAAGAATGAATTGGGTCCGGTTGAACAACCTAAATCTGCTACTGTAAATGTGGTTAACTTATCAAAATTAGGGTTCTTGAAATCAAGGTTTTTCTTAATGCCTTCACATACCAATTCTTTTGCAACATCCGCCCCTTCTTTCTGTAGGAAATGCAAAGTAAATTCAGTTACTAGATGTCTTTATGATTTTACGAAATATTAGTAGAAATTAATAGTAGAAAAGAGAAGTACCTGATAGCTAGAATTTTGAGCATAGCTGTTAGGACCATCTCCACCCACCATTGGACGTGATTCTTTAACCATTTTGGTTTCTTTATGAGTTGCTTTTAATGGTTATACTTCAAACGCAGACTGCCTATGTATATATTTACAGAGATTACGTATCTTTCTTCATCGTTACTAAATTAATTATCAGTTTATAAACTAATCCAAGAATTATTAACAATAGATAGTTTCCCATGCGAAGCAACTATAATTATTTATTTATGCCAATTTTCCAATTAGTTGACTACAGAAACATGTTCTGAGCGCAAATGTATTAAATGGCATTCAATGAATGGATTGATGACCAAGATCCAAAAAAGTTTTAAAAAAATGAAAAATATGTTCGTTGAGATTTACATTTCACGAAACACACCTTATATAAAAAAAGGTAGCTGTCTTGTAAACAAAAATTATTTTTTAGTTTTAAAGTTTTCCATATTCACTATCAAAAAAGGAGACTCGTCCTAGGATCACCGCTACTAAAATTTTAAATTTTATTTTTAATATATTAGATATTAGGTTGTATGACATATGAGATTTTTTATAAAAAATTAATTTAAAATTTGAAAAATATTAATACTCCGGTCCAAGGAAATAAAGTTCACTATCACAAATATTGTCTTACAAATTACAGCAAGCTACAACCACAAAAAATGTAGCTATACTACAAACAACCACAAACAAATGTGTAGCAACACAATGGAGTGATCACAAAATACAGCTACTGTTCTCAGTACATTTAAAAATGTTCTACTCATCCAAAAATTAAACTGATCGGCCAGAATCAAGAATTGGATGTTAGGAACATGCTCACCAAAAATCAGCTCAATCTGACAAAGGATGACTGCCGAAACGCTGAAGAAGATGAAGCTAAGTAGGGCTGGAAGCAGAACAAGACAGCTTCCGATTCAGAGCCAGAACTCAATCTCTGAACCTCCAAATCAAAATCCCGTCGGTGAGAATCAAGAATAGAGAGTAAAGAACAACATAACCAAAAATCACAACGATCCAACGGTTGGAACTCCGGTTGGAACTCCGGGAATCTCCAGAACACATGGCTGGTGCTGGATGGGGCTGTGCAGAAAAATCCCTCTCCTCTCCTCTTCTTTTCTGTTTTTCCTCACATGGTTTTGGATGAATGTGTCGATCAAATAGCAGCCAAAAAATATCATAACTATGGTTGTTAGTTGAGAGGCAATCTTGTAAAACAATAATTAATTTAATGGACTTCAAAATATGGGATTTTACCGCATAGGAAGGGAACCCAAACCCAACATGAGTTAGATGATCAAGATCCAAAAAGTTTTTAAAAAATGAAAAATATCTTCCTTGAGATTTACATTTCATGAAAGACACCTTATATAAAAAAAGGTAGCGTCTTGTAAACAAAAAATATTTATTAGTGGAGCCGTTGGTGCAACTCTTAAAATAAATTTTGATGCAACTTTTCTCCCCTCTGTCGGCCATGGAGCCGTTGGTGCTGTAATTTCAAATTGCAATAGCAGGTTTGTATCAGCAGCAACATCTTCCTTATAAGGTTGTTTTTTTCCTACAGTAACAGAAGCTCAGGCGTTAAGAACAGTGTTGTCTTGGTTGCTGTCGGGCTACTTCAGCTTGAAAATTCATATTGAGACCGATTGTCTGCAAGTTTTCTGTGCTATGAAAAATTCTGTCCAAGACCGGTGTGAGTTTGGAGTTGTTATTTCTGAATGTAAGCTACTGTTAGTTCAATTGCCAAATGTCACGTTGGCTTGGATTAGAAGACAAGCTAATGATATAGCTCATGTTTTGGCTAAATCAGTTCCTCGTGGGCTTGTTTTCAAACTTGGGATATTGTGCCCTATGTTTTTCAACTTGAGGGATAATTGTGCCCACTTGTAAAGCTAATGATATAGCTCATGTTTTGGCTAAATCAGTTCCTCGTGGGCTTGTTTTCAAACTTGGGATATTGTGCCCACTTGTATTGCTCGTTTTTTCTTTTAATAATATATAAACCAATATTAAATGTCAAAAAAAAAATATTTATTAGTTTTACAAGTTTTCAATATTCACTATAAAAAAAGGAGACTCGTCGTAGGATCACCGCTAGTAAAATTTTAAATTTTATTTTTAATATATTAGATATTAGGTAGTATGACATATGAGATTTTTTATAAAAAATTAATTTAAAATTTGAAATATATTAATAATTTTTAGTTCATAACTTTTAGAAGGCTTTTATTCGCCAAGAAACAAAATCCATTGACTTTGCAAATAAATACATAATAATTAAATAAATTATGATTTTATTTTATCTAAACATTAGTAATTAAATAAATTACTAGAAAATTTTTAAAAGAATAAATATTTCAAATAATATAATTTTAGACTAACTAATCACCCATTCCGCTTTAATAGTAACATTTGATCTTTTTACAAGAATTAAGAAAATTATTGGAATATATTGATATTTTAAAATATATGGTAGAATGTCTAAATTGCATTTTTTAAAATTAAAAGCTCCACATCTAAGTTTGCAAGAAATCATCTAATAAATATGGGTAAACATGAAAAAAATAATTAGTATAAAATGAACATTTAAAGTGGAACAAGTTGTAGCTATTAAAGTAAAACGGAGGGAGTAACAAATTTTAAAAGGAAGTAATGTTGAACCCTCGTATCTATATCAAACAATATAATTTTGGATTAAGTATTTCAACTTTTTTTTTTGCTACTCTCACATTTTTAGACGTTTAGTCTTTTTTTAAATCAAGTGTATTATGTAGTAACATGCTTATTTAACTTTTAACTGAACATAATAGATAGTGGCTAAAAATTTTTCAAAATAAAAATTCAAATTTTGGTTCAACCGAACTGAACTCCTGGTTTATTTTTTAACATTAAAATGACATTAAATAGAGCGTGGACCGATAATTTGACTTCAAAATTATGAACTACCAATTTTAATTCATATATTGTGCGGTTTGATTCCAATTTATTTCTGATTTGAATTAAACCGGTGGCCATCCTTATTTGTTAGCAGTAAATTCATGGTGATTGCTTCTTTCCTATATTTGCTTTATTCTGTAAAATTTTCAGATTCACTAGTAGATTGTGAATCACTTTTCATCCTTAGATAACTATTTTCAGTGTATGCTGGTTTCCTTCTTCAATAAAATTTTTGTAGCTATTCGAAAAAAGAAAAGGATAAATTTCTTAAGGTACGGTGTGCTTGGCTATCTTCATATTGAATTTAGATCCGTTAATTAGTTAACAGTTAACAAACACAAAATGAAAAAGGAAAAGGCATCTTCCTTTATTAAAAAAAAAGAGAAAAGGCATCTTCCTTTATTAAAAAAAAAGAAATAATAATAATTTCACATGCAATCTTTATTACAAGAAATAGAATTACTTAGTAAATTTGGAAGCAACCACAAGTGCTTCAGATATATATATATATGAGGATAGAGAACTAAATGCAAATTTATCATTAACCAATACATCCAATGGTCATTTTAATTTTAAAAATCTCATCACTTAACTGTCAAGGAGGCGCAGAATTGTCTTTGACCCAGAACTGCACATTATGGAGTTTTTAATTGCTTTAGGTAATTTTTATTTATATTTTTATTTAATTTTAATTTTTTGCTTCTGTGATTTTATTGAGCTCGATCACAGCTTATTTCGCAAGTGTACGAATCGCTACAAGTAATATATGATGAGTAAGATATCATTCCCACGAGGATTGTAATCCAAGTACCAGAATTATGTTATATTTAGACGATATTTGAGAGAATTGTTTATAGAAATTAAATTCAACAAGTAAAAATAAGAAGTTAAGCAAGCAATTATTGATTAAAGAAATCAGGGAATTGAAACTACTAGGGGTTTTGATTTCATTTAATTCTATCCAATTTATTTCATTAGTTCATTAATCAATTTAATTATTCAAGTAGGGGAAACAAATTAATTCAAGTAGGGGAACAACTCCTGAATTGCAACTATACAAGCTCTTCCCGATGTTTATTGCTAGCTATTTTTAATTCCATTTAATTACCTATCTCCAACAGCACAATCAAATATGAAGTAAATCATTAACGTTATGTAAGTTGTTCAATTTGAAATTTACAATTTAAGGTTGATAAATCATAAAAATCCCCCATGAGTCAAAACCAATTTAGCTCCGCATCAAAGTTATTATTCATGTGTTTTATTAACCTTTTCTATCAAAGACCTTCTTTCCGTATAGTGAATATGAATAAATCAAATCTAGGTATATATATATGTCTGACACTACAAGGCATTAAATTCATAATGATAAAGTCATAATGAATAAGGAAAAATAAATCAATTGCATAAATTTGAAAAAAGGATAAGCTACATCAAACTCCTAGTAATTAAAAATTTAGTTTACCACATAGTACTTAAATAAAACTCCAATATATACTTGATAAATATTCCATAATCAATAAGGATAATGGAAGAAATAAATAGAGATTAAGAGTTTAAGAAATAAGAACTAGTGATAAATCTTGGGATGGCTTTCCTTGAAACTTGCATCTCTACTCTTATTACTTAACTTCAAAACAAACTATATATATCCAAAAGCTATAAAATGAGACACACAGAGTATAGTAGTGTAGTTGTAATATGTGGGACGGGATCTCTTACAATGCAATCCTGTCCTCCTCTTATATCTATGACTTCTTGGGAGAGTAACTACATTGTTTAGGGGAATAAAAGTTCCACCTTGGTTTATGGAAAAGATCTCATCATGTCTTCCATGTTTGCGATTAAATTAAGGCTTGATCTGTTAAATGTAATGAAGTTGTCCAAATAGCTCTTGAAATTGGTGAAAAATGGTTGCAATTTTGAGCTTAAGTTAAGATTCTTGCTGTCACGGGCGTGCGCGGGCTTCTGGAAGTTCTTAATGCAATAACAGCACGAGGCATGCCTGATAGCACGTGCAGCTGTAGCACAGGCAAATGCTTAAATGAATTTTTTAATCCCTCATTTTTGTCACATTTCTTTGCAAAAGCACTGCATTTTTCCCTCAAAATCAAGTGAGTTGTGTTTCAAGAAAAGCTTTTAAATAAAAACATAATCAATATTTACATAAAAACTAATTTAAAATTAATTAAAAGTAATAGAAATTTATCAATTGATTACACACAAATATTACTATAAAAAGGACACCTTTAATCAAATTCCCAAACTTATAACACATCCTTGTCCTCATTGCAATTCAAAACTAAAAACATAAGAATCTAGCTTAATATAGTAGGAATATTAATTATTCACAATTTCAATAAGTGTCCAAAAGTCAATTAACAGGAAATGAATCTATGTAATAACTATGTAATATATCTAGCAATATAATTCAATTTATTATAAAGCACATTCCTTTAATTAAACATAAGTTAAACAAGATTTTAAAACCAACAAATTAACAACTTATGATAGGTAGACGTGTGAATTTTTCACAAAAATTAAACCTTTAAATAAGAGATTTAAAACATAAGTTCAAACATTTCCATAGGCCAAAATTAAATCATCTCTTCTCCACAATTGAAATGCATATAATTGAAAAATATCAAAAAGGTCTTTTAATTAGGTTTTTTTGGGTTTAAAAAAAAAAAATTTTGGGGTTTTATGGAATAATCTAAGCTAAGTAAAGAAAAGGATAAATATTGTATACAAATATAGTACTTATATAATGTTTAATATAAGTGATTTCATTTATATTTAAAAACTCGAATTTTTATTTGTAAAGGGGACTAAACTTTGAAGTCCTCTTTACTAGCTTGAAAATTAGAGCTATTTTTGGCAAGGTCTCCTTATTAGCACTTTAGATACACACTTAGCTAAAGTTCCCACCCCTACAACCTTGAATTTCTTGATTAATTGCTTCCTCTAATGGGGTTTTTTCTTTCTTTTTTTTTTTTTTTTTTTCTATTCTTGCTAGTTTAAAAATGTAATATTTTCTCCCTTTGTTGCTATGATTTTAATAAAATCAAATCTTCAATTTTTTACATCATTTATTGCACTTGTTTTAATAAAAATCAAATCCTTCAATTTCACATTATTGCACTTAGGATAGAAAATTAATTTGGTTTAATGGCTAGGTTTAAATATGGGTGAAAAATAAAAATTTGATATAGGCTTCAAATTAGTTGCAAGGGTCATACTTTAACTTAGGTTGTATAGGCTAAACATGAAGTTTTTAACAAAGAATGTCTAAATCATTTCTTTCTAAATGTAAGCATAAAAAAATTTGTCTTGAAGAAAATTTTAATTTTGTTCTAGGAATGCCAAGGTTAAATAAATTTTGATTAAAATACATGTCACGACCCGATTCCACGGGCCGGACCGACACTAGGGCCCAGGTAAGCTTAAGGCCCCCGAGGCCCGTAGTAAGCCTGAAACCCTAAAATTTGCTATCTTAATATAAATTTCGAATATTCAGCCCATATTAAAAAAATAAGCCTCAAGATTTTATTTCATCTCATTTCTAATATAGGCTCAAAGCATCATTTCGTCTACGATAATACACGACTAAAGGTAAGTAAATTCTACAACTGCGGAGTCACTAACTATTTGATATACATAGCCTTTTATACATACAGTTACATACTGAAATAATTATGGAATTAAGGAAAATTTCTTTGATGCCTTGCGTCAAAGAAACGTAACCTAATTCGAACTAAAGAGGAACTTACTTCCTGAAAAAATTAAACAAGACATGTGAGTTTTTCCTAAAATGATAATTATTGCACAACACATACAGTCACACAAATGACAACAACATACAGTCACAACAAATGTGTAAAATATATCAATCCAGTCATTGCCGACTAAGTTTATAGTGCTCACGAGCCAGTCACACAAATGGCATGTCACCAGACTCACAATACATATCACCTTCCAAATAATCACATCACGTGGAAATTTAAGTCAGTGAGTCACCGGGGAAACCCCCGATGAGCCGTCCTCTCACAAAGTGGCTCATCTCTCTAACGTGTGCACCAGGGAGCCGATCCCCCATTCTGACCGGTCTAATCCTCGACTTGACCAGCCTCTCATTGTTTTCCATTCTCTCTTTTCTTTCCATACCAAACAGGTGGCAAGCCCGGTCGTGCTCAATCAAAATCTAGAATCAATCAGGCGCTCACAACAAGGAGGCACCCCTGCGTGGCTTAGAAGCGATCGAATACCGTAGATTATGCCCGGTGCGCCCAAAATAAAGAAGCCAACCTGTGGTTAACAGTAGAACGGTAACAGTAGGTGCACAACGGGGGCCGCGCCGATCCCTATTACACGGCCGACGGTCCATTATCACAATTCATCATAATCAAGATCCAATGCTTTATTCTGATCCGCCTCACAACCATGGTGGGACCCATTC